ATGCCATGGACAAAGTCCTTCTGTTCATCCCAAATGAGCACAGTTCGTTGTAAATCGATTGGTCGTACTCTAAGATCCAACCATTTTTTCAGCGACGTGTATTGGATGCTTCGTCTGCGGACTGCTCTAATGACTACCTGGCGTGCGTGGCACTTCTGCTAAAACAGTACCGACTGCAGCTGCTGGGATGCCCCTATCCAAAAAACTCTGAAACATAAGGCGACGGTCATGAGCTGACATGCACATAGGCATGTCAGTGCAACCAACAGAGCGGGACGACCCAAGCCGCACCGGGCAGAATCCTGCCTGGTCGAAGCGGCCAGCCGAAGAAACTGTCTGGTATCCGACCAGCCTCCGAATCATATGTTTGCGACTCTGATCCACGTTGCAATCGTTCTCAGGCCATGCGCCCCCATGACGGAGTCATCCTCCGCGTGTCGTTGCACCGTTGGCACCAAACGCTCCATCGTAAAGCCGTCCTCTGAGTGTCCTTGTACCTCGGGCACCACGTGCTCTATTGCAAACTTCCTCTGCGTTCGCCGATTGTTTTTTTCTCCCTTCTTGTCTGGCTGTGGTCGGTTCGTTTGTCCTGCTGTGTTCCGAAATGATGCCGAAGCCCTGGCTTTTTGGTTTCCCGGTCGCCCCTTCACTTCCTTCAAGGATGGGATGGGTTGAAGCCCCTGGTGCAGTTTCTGAATGTTCAGCACCTCACCCTTCGGCACTTGGACCTAGACTAAAGATGACCTTCAGCACCGCTTCCACTGATGGATGTGGCATTAGCGCAGCCCCTGCCAGACGAACCGTGGCCGCTTTGAGCCTCGCCCCACTTTGCCTCGAGGCTTCGGAAGCTCTGCCGCGAGGAGGCCCAGAAGCGGCTCGGCGAGGCTTGGACGCGGCTTTGGGGAGATCCCAGAGGCTTTCGGATTTTGGTTCGTTTTGCTAGGATTTGCTAGTGCAGCTGTGATGTCTTCCCCCGGCTCTAAAAAGCCCCGAAACGGCCCCGAACCCGATGCCACGAAGAGCTCCGATGAGTCGCAGGAGCTTCCCGGACTTTCGGGTGAACTCTCGAGGCAACAAGAAGTCCTCGAGGAGGCCTCGGTGTCCTGAGGGCTGAGGTTTTTGCGAACATTCCGGATTAGATCACTGTTATCATATGACGTTTATAACCTTACTAGTATTGTTACAATGAGTAGCATTATTGGCTCCCTTTTGGTTGCACATGCCTGTGTCAGAGTCTATTGGCCATCGCCTTTTCCGACGCGAGTCAGGTTCAGCTTCAGCTGCAGCGTCTTGGAGGCCGCTGGCTTTCCGCAGGCCAGGTTTGTTCTTCCTATCCGAGCAGCCTTGCATTAGACTCTGGCAAGGTGCTGTAACGATTTTCGGTAAGGACGTGCTAAACGATGAGAATTCCTCTGCTCCTCTGTAAAGATTGTTGTTGCTGAGGCTGTGACAGGAGTCGTTCGGTAGTTGTAGCGGAAAGTTCAGCGTAGCACCAGAAGTATAGAGACAAGACCTGCGCCCTGTGCAGGGCAAAGATCTCTGATGCCCAAGCTGGCTTTTCAAGGAAGCTGATGCCTTTGTATTTGGGGCAGACGTAGGTTTTAGACTGGAACGGGCATGTACACCTTCAGGGAGCGGCCCCTCCAGTGCCCTACAAGGTTTCGAGAAATAAGGAGTGGTGCACATGCCCGGCTGAAAGTGGCCAGACGATTGGGCCACTGCTCCGAAGCAGTGCAGAGCACTGCCACGCTAACGAACCATGTGGGAAAATCCGGTCCTGTGCCTGAGTGCGCTGTGATGCTCCCCTTGCAGCACGAAGTCGGACGGAGACATTCGCGCCAAGCCCACCACTTCCAAACTGCTAATGTAGCAATGTAGTACTGGAGGATGACCTGTCGCCACCTGGCATGAACCTGCAATCTTGAATGGTGCTGACACAGCTCCGATCACATAGAAGAGTCCGGCGGTGACGGTTGTTTGCAAGACGAATCTTGCATGTCCGCCAAGGGGTGTTTCAGGATTGTTTTCGTCGCCGCTTTACTTCTCGGCTCCAGCCCTCGCGGGAGGAGGTCCGCCGATGGCCTTCGCAGCCTGGTTGCAGTACATGAGGGGCCCGGGCACTTGAGGTGCACGTTCGCTAACGCAAGACGCGAGGCAGCATCGCGGAGGAGTTTCTGTGCGCGTCGTTTTAACACCCCTTTTAAAGGCCAGGACGGGAGAAGCAACCAGAATATTTCATGCAAACTCCGAGCAGCAGCAGGATCCTTCGGATAAAGAGCCCTTGAAAGCGGATCCCCACCCTAAACCCTAAACCCGAAACCCTAAAACACTAAAACCCTAAAACTCTAAAATCCTAAAATCCTAAACTCGAAACCTTAAAACCCTAAACCGGAAACCCGAAACCCTGAAACCCGAAACCCGAAACCCTTCGCGGATGCCAGTGAGGTCAATTCCCGCGCGAGCCCGAAGCCGACAGGCCCCGCAAGATGTGAGGTTTTTCGGGGTTTGGGGGCCCTAAACCCTAAACCCTAAACCCTAAACCCTAAACCCTAAGGTTTTAAGGTTTAGAATTAAAAATTTCAAGTTTCGGATTTCGAGTTTCGGGTTTCGGGTTTAGGATTGTAGGGTTTAGGGTTGAAGGCTGCCGAAGAACGGGGCCGAAACCAAAGAAGGAGCTGTAATAGACGATAGATAATGTACTAGAGTATACTATGATGTCCTACATTCTACTATAGTGTACTACAGTGTACTACAACGTACTGGCAGTTTTGAGTTCGAGGTTTGGGGATTCTTGATCCTATGTAGTCCCGACACCCTGAGCTGCCATGAACCGAACCCTAAATCCCGAGTCTTAGTCTCGAATCCCTGAAAGTTATAAGTCCCCTAATAGGGGTTGTAATTATAATTATAGCTACCCTACTTATAGCCCTACTTATAACTACGCATGACCCTCTAAGTAATCCCTGAACCCCAACCCCAAAGCCTGAACCCGAAGCAGTTTGGGGGCATGAACGGCTGTCATGGGTCTGGAGGAAGGCAGGCTTAGCGCTCAACAGGTTTTGTGCCTCTTTTTCGGCCGGATTCAAATTGGAGTTTCCGAAAATAAGGGGTGCCATATTTTGGGGTCCTTATAATAAGGATCCTACTATATTAGGGTACTATCTTAGGGTCCCCTATTTTTGGAAACCCCCAAATTGGAAGCATCCATTGCTCGGAACAGAGTTGACTTACGGTTGGTTCCGAGGCAAAGTCCTCCCCGAAATGCAAGGCCCCGAAAATCTAATGAGAAGAGTAGTAGGATAGAAGCAATAGACCACACAGCTAGCGACAACCACGGAGCGAGCCCGGCAGCCGGAAACGCTCCCCGCAAGGCTCGGGGCTCCCAGTGGTAAGAAGGCGGTCGGTGTCTCAGGAGGACATGTCACTCCATGTACAGGTTCTACAGAAAAGGTTTCTGCACTTAACTTCTGCATAGACAGTGAGGATTTTTTCATTTGGGACTTGCAAAGCTCATGCCATGTGCTGGGAACGATAAGCCAAGACACCTAAGGCGCACTTCGGGACACCTGAACTTCCCAGTGCCTCTCATGAAGACCCCTTTCCAGGAAACCGTTCAAAGTGCCACGATTCCTCTCAACATCTTCCCTGGCACTGAAGCCCTGATCTGGCTCAGGCTGCATTGCTTAGCCTGCGCTGGGGTGTCAATGGGTCTGTGCCCCGGTCATGGCCGAGCCAGCTGCTGGGGGGTGTCCCTGCAGTTGGAGGGTTTCAGGAAGCTTTCTTGGAGGTTCATGGGTAGTTATAAGTGGGGTTATAAGTCCCCTAATATGGGTTATAATTATGGTTACCGCACTTATAACCCCACTTATAACTACCCATGAACCTCCAAGTTCTGATCTCTCAACCACCTGTACAGCACCTGGAGCATGGTTTGAAAGCTGCAGCGCAGTGAGACGTCCCTGCGATGCAAATGGAAGTTTGACAAGCAGTACCTTCCCGCCCAATATGCTGGTTTTGTAAGGCAAGCACCCTAAGCCATTCAAGCATTAGTTCTTACGGTGGTCGCCAATACCGCTGAGCGCATGCTATGCCAAAAGACCACTCTCCTTGAACCCCATGTGCCCGGGAGGGTCAGAATGTAGTTGAGCTGTGCTGTAGCCCGCTGGCAGGGTGGGGGTTTGAGGGATGCAGCAATTTTTTTCACAGCGATCGGCCAGTGCATGGCAACGTGCCGGGGTGCAAGCTTGCGACTTTCGCCCTCGTGCTGTGTTGAAGAAAGCAGGCCCACTCCTCAGGCCCCGAGCCACGAAATGAGGAGGTGACTGTTGTGTAGCGTGTTGCACTGTTTCGAGCTGAAGTCAGGGAAACGGAAGGGCTATCCAGATGAAGGCAGCACGGCGAGGTATTGCTTGGGGCGGATATGCACTGTGAGGCTTTCGACAGGACGGCTGCTTTGAGAATCATGGGTTGCCAATGTGCCTGGACATGTTGGTTCATGCTTGGGGGTTCATGGGTAGTTATAAGGTTATAAGTAAGGTAACTATAATTATAACCCCTATTAGGGGACTTATAACCCCACTTATAACTACCCATGAACCTCCAAGTGCTGCTGCCAAAAGACCAACCGTGTTCCGAGTGTTGCAAGCATCAGGAAGTACAAAGATGCCCGAGTTTGGGCGCTTGTCATTGTGACTGGCAGGTAGATCTTTTTTGGCGGGAAGTGGTATCCAATGAACTGTCCTTTTTGAAAGGAACCTTCGGCAGCTGGACATGATGGCGGCTGTCAATCGGGAAGAACGGCTCAATGCCAGAATTGACGAACTGCCTGTCCTGGATGAAACGAAGGGTACCAATACGAAGACCCCTGAAAGAGGCGGGAGGCACTACTCAGGGACCTCATTATGCTACCTTGAACTTCGATTTCGCAAGCGGCTTGCTTGCTGGGGTGTCAGGCAGCTCGCAGCTCCAAGCTCGAACGTTGAGTACCCTTTAAGGCCACGATGGTGGTGGCAGGGGAGATCCGGACGCGCCTGGTTGAGTATGGTGCCAGCCTCGGCTGCGGCAATGTGCAGCGGCGAGAAGCCTGGCTTCTGAACATCGTGCTTGACCAGCATCGGAGCGCAGGAATCTGCCTTGCCAACCTAAGACCCTGCGTGCGAAAGCATCCCCTGCCGTCGTTTTTGCCTTCGTGGTTTCGACTTGAGGCAAGTTCAAGATCGTCATCATGGATGCCCCGTGTGACGAGAACTCGCACATGCCTGGAGCTTTGCGTTTGCTTCGATGACATCGCATCAGAGGATATGAGCGCCCTCGAAGCCTTCGGAACCGAGGTATGTGCGAGAGCTCAAGCAGCTGGGGGTCACTGATGTCGTGCCCCACGCTCTCACTACGGTTTACTCCAGTTCCTACCAGGGGTCCGGAGACCATCTCTTGCCGTGAGTTGAGAGCTTCTGAATGCATCACGAAGATGCATGTAACCATACTGGTAAAGTGGAGCAGATTGAAGCTGCCAAAAAAGGGTGGTCCAGAGTTGTCCAGTGTGGTTGTTTGAGTTCGACATCGCCTGCATCTTGCTTGTTTGCTGTCGGCACCAGGTACGAACTTGTGAGCCCACATACTCACCCGAGCTTTTTGAAAGAGAAGGTATTGAGGCACGCCAGCCAGTGTGTTGCTGCACATGTTGGCGCACGACAGAGACCTGGCCTTCAGACACTATCCCCAGCTTGCAGACCTCGGCCAGGTCCACGAAATGACCTTCCCGGATGGTGCAGCACCACCGGAGGACTGCAAACGAGCGAAGGGCGAGGGACTGCAGCAGATACCTGGAATCCAGGCTAGGTCCAGCTAGGTCGTGCTATCAACGCTCGCGCTACAATCACCAGAATACCCTGTGCTTGTGAAGATTGTGTTTGCATGCGCGTTACTGTTTTATCACGGCACCATTTTTCCTTTCCTGCACCTCTGCACGTCAGGAGCTAATTCAAAAATGGAACGGTGCCTTGGCAGAGAGTTGGGACAGGGACGTGGCTCGAGCATACGCTTCAGCTGATAGTCATAGGTCGTACCGATGCGGCTAGAGTTGCGGAGTTCATGAGTCTCCGACATACGTGAAGCTTGAAGCCTGCCTGAATTCGTCTCCACAAATTCGGGCTTGCAGGAACCCATAGGCCCATAGTGCATGACCTTGGGATTGAGGCCTGATTTGCCAAAGATACCGACCAAAGGACCCGGCACCTTGGCCTTTGCAGAACTTGCTGGTTCTTGTTTTCGCATGTCTTGCTTGGGTCTCCTGCATGACTTGTCCTTGCACGCTGTCCCTTCCGGTGTTTGGAATGGCAAGCGGCACGAGCCGCAGATCCAAGCTGGTCTGCGACGGCAGTGTGGCAGCGCGCAACTTGCAAGCTTCTTTGTGCACTCAGCATCTCTGTCACGGAACGCAGAAGATCTCCGTACTTCTGATATTTTCTGCAGATCCTGGAACGAGTTCAGGGGCCCTAGCTGCCAAGGCGGACACAGGCGTCGTGGCCGTTCACTGCGTCGCTGGGCTTGGTAGGGCCAGAAGCCCGATGTGCTCACCAGGTATTCGCAGTGCCCGGTGGTTCTTAGCTCAGGGTGTGACATGGCTTCGATTTCGGATCTGACAGCATATGGGTAGTTCTCTAAATTAGGGTCCCTTTTTAGGTCCCCAACATAGTACGGCAACCTTATAAAAAGGACCCTAAATGGAGCCCTAATTTTGAAGACTACCCATATGAGGCCCCTGTCATGGCAGCCGTCGCTCTGATTGAGATGACAGCTATGGACCCGATGGATGCGGCAGCAGACTCAGAGATCTGGGCGGTTCAGGCCTGAAGTAATGCAGTGCTCGGAGTTGCTTGCGGTTCTCGGCCCAATGGTGCGGCAAGTGGGAGTTTCAGAAAATTTGGGGTACCTTATTTTGGGGTCCTTATAATAGGGATCCTACTATTTAGGGCACTATATTAGGGTCCCCTATTTTTGGAAACCCCCAAGTGTCTATCCTTCAGGAATTTTGCTATGGCTAGCTGAAGCTTTCATCTCATCAGAGGAAGAGGCTCTCTCTGTAGCAATCTCCCCCAGACGAAGCAGCTCTCCCGAGACCGGATTGCTTCTCAGGTTGAGAAAATTCGTGAAAGGCAGAAAGGTGCCATCAATGCAAGGCAGCTGAAATTCCTTCAGGCGCGGGTTTGGGCTCAGGGCGCTCGAGGGCTCCTGTTCTGACGAAGGCTGCTGTTCCGGTGGTTGGCCCTTAGACCACTTTTTGGCCTAGGCTATGCAGAGCGTGCGTGGTACCAGTGCGTGGACCGTGTGCAAGCGATGCCGTGCCAGTCCTACAAACCCATGACCAAGCCGGGCCCAATGGGCCGTGATCCCAGTGCTGTTCAACTGCTCGGTCCTGTGATCAGTCTTATTTTTCGACCAGCTCCCTTCTATTTCTCGTCTTAGTCTCCTCTCCCTCCATCTTTATTTACCCTCCCCTCTCCCTCTCTCTCGCTCTTTCGGGCCCTCGCAATACTCTGAATCTGCACGGCCCGGCACGGCCTACTGTTCCCGTTGCCAGTTTTCGCTGCCTGGCTGCAATCAGCTCGATTAGCCGATGGAACAGCTGCTACATGGTCTAGATGTGCAGATCTGCAAGAACAAGATTCCACCTCCATGTGCACTCGCAGACAGGTGTTGGGCTTCGTGCATGGTCTTAAGCCCTAAACCCGAAACCTGTGTCAACACCTGAAAGAGTTGGGTCTTACGTGTTAAACCCTACGCGCTGGATGGCTAGCGTGCTGCCTAAACCCTTACAACCCTAAACCATATTGCAATTCATTTTCGTATTGAGTAGAAACCGCCATCGATGCGAGAGAGTCTGGAAGAGAATTCTACAAGTTGATCAAGCCTGCTAGTTTTGAAGCTCATGCACGTAGCGCACTTGTTTTTGGAAATCCTGGCATAGCCGAGGTCCCTGCAACTGCACCGTGATGTGACTTTGCGTAGAGTCGGCAAACCGCACGTGCTTGGGGAAGAGCCTGCAAAGCTGGAAACTTAGGCGCATGCTTTGCGGCCTTGCAGTGGCGCGGTGATAGTATTAGTCTTAGCGTTCCTTTTGTATCTTAATAGTATTCTTATCATTTCTTATGAATATTACTATCATTGTTATTATGATCATTTTTCTTTTGTTATTTTACAGAGATCACAGTTATGACAGTGCTCTTCATTCAGGATCGGCCCGACCTTGGGTTCGGAAGCATGGAGAGAAACCCTCAACAAGACTGGCTTGACTCGACTTTTCCAGCTTGCAGGCTTGTTGGCCCCCAGTCAATTCTTTGTGGGAGACAGAGCCAACTCCGAAGCCCAAAAGCAGTTGCTCAGGACAGGTTTGCTTCCTCTCCGTTCCCACTACTTAGGACTTAGTGAGGCTTCACGGGTTGCCAAGGGTTTGCCCTGTGAGATTGCCCATCGCCGAAATCAGCAGGTCCGTCTCCGTTCTTGGTTATCCGAGGGCCAGTCGCGTCTTCCTCATCGATATTTGTCGAGCATGGCAGCATGTACACGCACGTGCACATGCATGCATGCATGCATGCATGCATTTATGCAGACATATGTATGTGTGCATACATACACACATACATACACACATACATACAAACATACATGCATACGCAGGTGTAGACGTAAATGTATGGAGCGATGTATAGAGGAATATATGTACGTAGGTATGTGCTCATGATGTATGTATGTAGGTATGTATGTATGTATGCCTGTATGGATGATGGATGGATGGATGGATGCAACAATTGAGTAAGCATATGTATATATATATATATACATATGTATATATATATACACATATATATATATATATATGTATGTATGTATGTATGCACATACATACGTGTGTAAATTATATATATATATATATGGTAACCCCGTTACCATTATTTATTTATGTATGCTTGTATCTAATCATAATAGCTCCGTAAACCCTCTACTTTTTTTCTATCCATGCTGGGATTCCCGAGTTCCCTGAATTCCCTGGTCCCTGCCCCCATGTCTTGGATTTAAGTTAAGGGTTCCCTTAGTTCCCTACATTCTCTATATCACTGCCCCCATGTCTTGGATTTAAAGGACTTACTGAGCTTCTTAAACTCCCTCAATTTCTTAAACTCCTTAAGTTCCCTAGATTCCCGAAATAGATTCCTTAAATTCCTCAGATTACCGAAATTCCTTAACTTCCTTAATTTTTTCTAACTTCCTCAGACTCAAATATCATGAATTCCCTGAATTCCCTAAGTTCCCTAATTCTGACCCTATGGGTAGGATTCAGGTGTTCCCGTTCATGCAGAGAGTCCTACCCTCAGAATTAGGGAATTTAGGGAATTTAAGGAAGTTGGGGAACTTAAGGAAGTTAAAGAGTTTAGGGAATTTAGCCCGAAAGGTGAGACATAGGGTTACGGATTAGGGAATTGGGGAATGTCATGGAATTTAGGGAATTTAGGGAATTCCTTCAAACCAAGATGTAGGGCTAGGGATTAGGCTATTTAGACAATTTAGGGACTTGCTTCTGAAAGGTTGGTCCTTGAGGGAGGCTAGCATATATATATATATACACATACACATATATATATATATACACACACACATACATTTACACACACACACACACACGCATATTCACGCACACATATACAAACTAGTACACGAACACATACATATAAATCACTACATATGCACCTACATCTACATAACATACAGATACGTATACAATATATATATATATGTATATATATATATATATATATATGTATGTATATATTTAGATTGTGTAGTATGTGAGCATGTATGCATGTATGTATGTATGTATGTATGTATGTATGTATGTATGTATCTATGTATGTATGTATGTATGTATGTATGTATGTATGTATATATGTATGTATATGTTATGTGTATCTGTGTGTGCACATGTATTGTCTATGTGTACACGTAGACGACTTTGTACACGCATACACACACACATGCACACACATACACATACACATACACATACACACATACACATACACACACGCGCACAAACACACACACACACACACACACACACACACACACACACGTGCGAGCACGTGCACACGTGCGTGCGCATGCAGGCATGAGTGGCTTGGGTATGGCTCACATATATACAGTATACATAGTACGTACGTTGAGATGTGGCGAGATCAGAGCGAGACCATGATAGACGACAGTAAAGCTCAAAACATCGGGGCCGCCCATTCGATCCAAGAAGACATGCGGGGCTATACTCACGCTTGACATTGCAGATGGTTATCGGCTTCCGCTTTATAGGATCTGTTGCGGCTCTCTTCACCCCAAAGTCCTCCATCCCCAGGAATTCTACAACTTCCTGTTGGCTGTTGTTTCTCACCATGGCCCTGTTTCAAAGTCGCGCCGATGAAGATTTTGCATCCCACGGCAGATGTCAGTACATCTCCCACAGGGTAAGCCCTCCAACCCCGCGAATCGTTGCCAGCAAACAAGCTCTCGTGGGGACGTGCTTTTGCGGTGCAACTCTAAGTGCGTTGCAAGCTAGCTGACGCAAACACTGCGTTGAACTGTTTCGCCTTTGGACAGGGTCGTTGCTCGCTGACTCAAGCTGCCGTTGATCAAAAAAGGAGCTTATCATGTCTACCAAGATTACAATGCTCAAACCTGACGTAACTGATTCTTCAAGAGTGCAGTGTCTGCCTCTGCCCTACTACAGCCCGAAGTCTGTGTCCTGTTCTGCCACGACTTCTTGCATTATGTAGTATAGGCTCCTCGTTGCACTGTGCTGCAGGCGTCTGGATGCCCATTATTACTATCACTCCTTTGCGTAGGAGGGGTCGTGTAGCCTGGGCAACACCGCCGAGTGATGCCGCGAACGACGTGACGTCGGCTGACCCTGCCTTGCCGATGATTTGACCGGCACGGACTCTTCTTTCGTCGCTGTCCCGGCTCAAAACAGAGTCGGCAGCGCTGCCGCGCAGGCATCGCCGTCTTTTCAGGGCAGCCTGGACTTAGCTTGGGG